TATCATATTGTCTGCAAATAGTAAAAGTTTGACTTCTTCCTTTCCAATTTGTATCCCCTTGATCTCCTTTTGTTGTCTTATTGCTCTAGCTAGGACTTAGTTCGAGTACTATATTGAATAGATATGGGGAGAGTGGACAGCCTTGTCTTGTTCCTGATTTTAATGGAATCTCGTTGACTTTCTCTCCATTTAATTTGATGTTGGCTGTTGGCTTGCTGTAAAATGCCTTTTTTATGTTTACATATATTCCTTGTATTCCTGATCTTTCCAAGACTTTTATCATGAAGGGGTGTTGGATTTTGTCAAAGGCTTTTTCAGCATCTAATGAGATGATCACATGTTTTTTCTTTCTGTTTGTTTATATGGTGTATTACATCGACAGACTTTCATATGTTGAACCATCCTTGCATCTCTGAGATGAAGCCTACTAGGTCATGGTGGATACTTTTTTGATGTGTTCTTAGATTCGGTTTGCCAGTATTTTATTGAGTATTTTTGCATCAATGTTCATGAGGGAGATTGGTCTGTAATTCTCTTTCTTTGTTGCATCTTTGTGTGGTTTGGGTGTCAGGCTAACTGTAGCCTCATAAAAAGAATTCGGTAATGTTCCTTCTGTTTCTATTGTGTGGAATAATTTGAAGAGTATTGGTATTAGCTCTTTGAAATTCTGGTAGAATTCTGCACTGAAACCATCTGGTCCTGGGCTTTTTTTGCTTGGGAGACTTTTAATGACTGCTTCTATTTCATTAGGGATAATAAGTCTATTTAAATTGTTTATCTGGTCTTGATTTAATTTTGGTATGTGGTACCTATCCAGAAAATTATCCATTTCTTTTACATTTTCCAATTTTGTGGAGTACAGGTTTTTAAAGTATGACCTGATAATTCTCTGGATTTCCTCGTTGTCTGTTGTTATGTCTCCCTTTTCGTTTCTGATTTTGTTAATTTAGATGTTCTCTCTTTGCCTTTTAGTTAGTTTGGATGAGGGGTTGTCTATCTTGTTGATTGTCTCAAAGAACAAATTCTTTATTTCATTGATTCTTTGTATTGTTCTCTTCGTTTCTATTTTATTGATTTCAGCCCTCAATTTGATTATTTCCTGCTGTCTATTCCTCCTGGGTGACTTTGCTTCTTCTTGTTCTAGGGCTTTCAGGTGTGCTGTTAAGTCACTAGTGTGAGATTTCCCCAACTTCTTTATGTGGGCATTTAGTGCTATGAAATTTCCTCTTAGCACTGCTTTCATAGTGTCCCACAAGTTTGGGTATGTAGTACATTCATTTTCATTGAATTCTGGGAAGTCTTTAAGTTCTTTATTTCTTCCTGGATCCATTGGTGATTCAGTTGAGTATTATTCAGTTTCCATGAGATTCTAGGCTTTCTGTAATTTTTGTTGTTGTTGGAATCTAACTTTAAGTCATGGTGGTCCAATAAAATACAGGAGGTTATTCCAATTTTTCTGTATCTGTTGAGATTTGCTTTGTGATGGAGTATGTGTTCGATTTTAGAGAAGGTTCCCTGGGGTGCTGAGAAGAAGGTATATTCTTTTGAGTTAGGGTGGAATGTTCTGTAGATATCTATTAAGTCCATTTGAGTCATTTTAATGTCTGTTAGTTCCCTTATTTCTCTGTTAAGTTTCTATTTGGCAGACCTGTCCATTAGTGAGAGGGGGGTGTTGAAGTCTCCCACTACTAGTGTGAGGGGTTTGATGTGGGATTTAAGCATTTGTAGTGTTTCTTTTACAAATGTGGGTGCCCTTGTATTTGGGGCATAAATGTTCAGAATTGAGATTTCATCTTGGTGGAATTTCCCTGTGATGAATAAGTAATGTCCTTCCTGATCTCTTTTGATTGATTTTAGTTTGAAGTCTATTTTGTTAGATATTAGGTTAGCTACACCAAATTGCTTCTTAAGTCCATTTGATTGGAAAGTCATTTCCCAGCCTTTTACTCTGAGGTAGTATCTGTCTTTGAAGTTCAGGTGTGTTTCTTGTATGCAGCAGAAGGATGGATCCTGTTTTTGTTTCCATTCTATCAGCCTGTATCTTTTTATAAGCGAAATGAGTTCATTGATATTAAGGGATATTAGTGACCAGTGATTGTTAATTCCTGGTATCTTTTGGTGGTAATGTGTGTGTATTTCCCTTCTTTGGGATTTGCTGCTGTGGTGTTATCTATTGCCTGTGTTTTTGTGGGTGCATCTGACTTCCTCAGGTTGGAGTTTTACTTCTAGTACTTTCTGTGGGGCTGGATTTGTGGATAGGCATTGTTTAAATCTGGTTTTATCTTGGAATGTCTTGTTCACTCTGTCTATGGTGATTGAAAGTTTTGCTGGGTATAATATTCTGGGCTGGCATCTGTGGTCTTCTTAGTGTCCACATTACATCTGTCTAGGACCTTCTGGCTTTCAGGGTCTCCATTGAGAAGTTGGGTGTTATTCTGATGGGTCTGCCTTTATACTTGGCCTTTTTCCTTTGCTGTTCTTAATATACTTTCTTTATTCTGTATGTTTGGTGGTTTAATTATTATGTGGAGAGGGGACTTTTTGGGGGTGTCTAGTCTATTTGGTGTTCTATAGGCTTCTTGTATCTTCATAGGCATTTCCTTCTTTAAGTTGGATAAGTTTTCTTCTATGATTTTATTGAATATTTTTTCTGTGCCTTTGAGTTGCTATTCTTCTTCTATCCCTATTATTCTTAGGCTTGGCCTTTTCATGGTGTCTCGGATTTCCTGGACATTTTGTGTTATGACTTTTTTGGCTTTAGTGTTTTCTTTGACTGACAAATCTCAGCTAGTGTATCTTGAGCATCTACTGTGTGGAAAGTCTTATACCAAGTACTTTATTAAATACTTTTTCCATTTTCCATACTAACCTTTCAGAGCAGAAATTATTGTTCTAGTTTTAATTCCATTGCTTCATCATTTAGTTTGGAGATGCACTCTCACCGAGGCTGGCCTAAAACTCCTGGGCTGATCTTCCTACCTCCACCTCAGAGTAGCTAGGACTATAGACACAAGTCAGCATGCACAGCTTATTTACAGTTTGACAATCTTAAATGTCCATTTGTGTGTATGTATTCTATATGCATGGGGGAGGGTGCCCTCACCCGTGCATGTGTGTATGAATGAGGTGAGGCCAGAGATTGATGACTGGCATCTTCCTCTATTGCCCTCCGCATTATTTTTTTCAGAGAGAATCTCTCACTGAATCAAAAGCTCACCATTTCAGGTAGATTGTCTGGCCAGCAAGCCTGTAGATCTGCCTGCCTCTGTTCCACCAGGGCTGGGCTTATAGACAGACCCGGTGCCAGGCTTTTACAGGGGTGTTGGTGACCCAAACTTAGACCCTTGTGCTTGCACAGCAAACTCTACACCCACTGAGCCATCTTGTCAAGCCATTTATTTTTAGAAGAAATAGACTTCGGTTCTGAGAAGTACAATGACTTGCCCACTTTCACAAATCGACCTTCACATCTGTCATTTCAGTATCCTTACTAACAGCGAGGCCCCTGACTATATGTAGAGAACTGTGACAGGTGCTAGAAATATGAAAATGGGGCTATCAGGAGTAGCCTTAAGGGAAGCAATTGCTACCTGCACTTGAAAGTAAATCGAGGCAGACTTTGTTGTCTGATTCCACACCGGAAAGTCAGCTGCCTATAATCCCAGTACTTGGGAGATGGAGACAAGACGAATAGGGGCTCCAGGCCATACTCTGCTACATAGTAAGTTTGTGGCCAGCCTGGGCTATTAGGACAGCCTGTCTCAAAAACAAACTATTTAATAAACAAACAAAATATAAAACAAATTCCATGTAAGAAACTAGGGAGACAAAAATAAATGTCAGTAACAGCCACAGTTTCCATACATCATCATATGTTATATGTATGCCCACACAAATGGATGTGTAATCCTTTCATTCCCTCAAAGATTCTGATTATGTACTGTTAATATGCTCATTTTACTTATTTGCTTGTTCATTCCTTCTTTATTGTGGTATAGAAGATTGGATGTGGAGCCTCCCACATGCTGCTGCTGAACTATATTCCAGACTCTTTGAATTTTTTTCAATCATTAGTCAGTTGTTTTTTTAGTCAGGGGCTCACTTTGTAACCCAGGCTGGTCTAGAAGTCACAATTGCAATTCTCCTACCTCTGCCTCCACAGTGCTGGAATTACAAGCATGTGTCACCACACCTGGCTAAAATTCAGTATGTAAGGAATGACAACACCTTACTTGGTAACGTATGAACCTCTATCAGCATTTCTTGCCTTTGTGTGTTCGCATTGCAGTCATGTGCAGGTGTGCTCGCCTGTTCGGGAGCTTGAGGAGGTCAGACGTTGAGGGCAAGATATCTTTCTCAATCTCTATTCCACCTTATCAAATTTTATTTTGAAACAATTTCTTACTAAATTGTCCAGGTGGGTCGAATATATGATCCTCTTTTCTTGGTAGCTGGGCATATAACCCTTTGTACCAGACCCAGCTTAAAATGCTCATTTCATGTAAAGGTAAAAAGCAGTTTGGGGTCGATTTTACAAGGTTACAAAGCAGTTTTTGTCCTCTTGTATTTGTACCTTGATCTGGCTCTTCTGGGGTTGTAGGTCTCAATTCTTAAAACTAAGGTAAGATTTTTGAAAGAACTGGTCCTAAATTAGGAAAATGGAAGCCGGCCACCATGTAGGTCTTGGGAAGGGGGACACCTGGCTTGAGGAAGCACGTAGTGAATGGAACCTGAAGGGCTGTCCATCAGCTTAAGCGTCATGAGGGAAAAAAAAATGCGGACTGAGGTAGGTCTGATTACTTGGGAGTCCTCTGGGATACTGAAAGCGGGCTGGAGGTTGCGGTACGAGCAGCCCCGGATTTTCCCAGCAGAAAATTCCCACGGCCACCTGGCCTAAAGAGCCACGAGCCGCCGCTGGTGGAGGCGCGCCGAAGAATACGCAGCCACGCCGCTGGGGGCGGGGCCTGGGCGGGCCGAAGGGGCGGGCCTGGGGGCGGGGCTTGGCCAGCGGCGGCTGTGAGCGGTTGCTGGGGCGGCGGCGAAGAGCGTTGGGCTTACCTCACGGCTTTCCCGTGTCGTAACGTCTCCACTGCCGGCTTCCTCCTCGAACCGCTGTGGGCTCGCGAGCCCCCCGATTCCGATATGGCGACCTGCAATCCTAGCGTTATGGCGACCCGCAGTCCCAGCGTCGTGGTGAGCCCCGGGACTCTTCAGCAGAGCCGGAGAGCCGGGCCCACGAGGCTGGCTGCATAATGACGCCGGTCGGGGCCCTGAGGCGCCGAGGCGGGCTCTGGGCGGTGGGGCCGCGGAAGCCCGGGCACGGGGGCGGTCACAGGTTCCTGGAATCTGGCCGGCTGACCCTAGGGGGCGGCGGGCAGGCTGGAATGGCGGGGTTCGGGGGTGGGCTGTCCCTCCAGTGAGCCCCGAGAGGGCTGACTGCGTGTGGGCCAGCGAGGTGGAAATGGCGTTGGGCTTGACATGTGCAGCCAGAGGGCATGAGGCGGGGAGAGGCGGGGAGCGACTTCCAGAATGATCCGGCACGGGAAGGGCAGGGGAGCTCTCTTGGGAAAGACGCAGCTCTGGAAGTTTGGGGCTTGGCGGCCAGGGAGGGCTTCGGAGCACCTCTGGAAGGAGCTCTGGCATCCGTAGACGACAGCATGGGAGGGCACGTTCAGGACTGGGCTTTGCCTCTAATTCTGCAGATGTCATAATTCATATTTGTGGAATGCGCAATTGCTCCATTGAATCTGCGCTGCGGCCCTGCTAGTGAAAAATCACGCCTAGTTTCCACCTGAGGAGACTAGTGAAAAGGCAGCTCATTTTTCCCAAGGCCCAGAATAATGAGTTTTGGATGTAGACACGTTTGACTCCATAGCCCATGCCCTTGATGCTGCTAGGAATTTAAAAAAAAAAAAAAAATACGGATTTAGTCGTTAGGCAAAAGGACTTTCCCCCACAGTCGGCCCCTGATATTTTGCCTCTTCCCCCATTGGCTCTATTCTTTGTAAACCGCCAAGCTGCTTCCCGACCCTACCCCACTCCACAACCTTGCTTGCTAAAATAACTTAAAGCTCCTGCCTCTGATTAAATGCTTTAGCCTGCTTTATTGTGGTTATTGCCCCTGCTACTCGTTAAATGTCATATCATGCTTTATTAATATCATTGTTGTAAATTAGCAGTTACCTGGTTACTTGTTGATTGTCTCCCCCACTTATACAAACTTTATTTATTTTGATATTTTCAGAAAAGGTCTTACTATGTAGCTCTGGCTGGTCTGGAATTGGCAGTGTGAACCATCAGGCTAGCACTGAACTTGTGACAGCCCTCCTGACTCTTGCGTCCCAAGTGCAGCACCACCATGCCCTTCTGGTTTTTTTTTCCATGCTAGGAATTGAACCCAGAGCTTTGTTCCTGCTAGGTGATCTCTCTACCACTGGGTCAACAGCTTTGACCCTTAAACAAGTGTTATAAGGGCAGGAGTAACCACTGTAGCTTTTAGCATATAGCACAATGCCTGGTTTGTGGGGAGTTTTCATAAATAGTTTGTTGAGTGAATTAATAACCATTTGAGCCCTAAAAAATGCTGTCTCATAATCGTATTAGACACTGTGGCTTAAGGCAGAAACACTGTGTTCTTGATGACCTGGGATCCTGCTTGTTTAGAATATGTTCTGTGTGGCCTTCAGTGTCTTCACCTAGGCTCAAGCTTTTTTGTAGACAATTTCTTGCTGTGTAGCCCTTGATGCCTTAAGTAGACCAGGCCTTTAACTTACAGCCGTCTTCTTGCCCCTACCTCAGTGTGGGGATTACAGACAAGCATGTGCCATCATCTGGCTTTAAATTTCTTACATCTGAGGTGCTGGCTGCTGGTGGTGTTGAAAGGAGAAGATAGTTTATGCAAATAAGCAACCATTTCACAGTCCCTGGGTAGGAAGAGTAATAATAGCCATCATTGTGCTTACATACATAGTTCTAATTAGTTTTCAAAATAACCCTGTAACAATGGTATGTTGACATTATCAGACATAAGTCACACAATTATTAAGGGGAGAGAGAGCCCCCCCCCCCCATTAATTACTAAGCCATAGTTTAGATCAGCACCAGAAGAAAGGATAAATTTTAGAAGGTGGAACTCTGCCTCAAACCTAGGTCTGTCTCTGGGGCCTATGCAAGTAAATACTACCATAAGATACATTAAATGCTCAACAAATGGCTGTTATTTTTATTCAGTTACTGACTTCTACAGATGCTTTTAAGTTTTGAGATATGGTACTTGTTCAACGTAGAGTTAATTAGTTCTTATTGTTAGAAGTGGCTATTCTTAGTTTTGTTTGAACATCAAGAAATTCACTGTATTTTTAGTTTGCAAATTCCTGTTCCTTTTTTTTTAAGTTTCCTTCCCCTTAATTGTCTGCATGTTAGGAATAACAAACACTTAAATAGTGCTTACTATGTGCTAGTTGCTATTCTAAGCCCCTTAACTGGCTTGATTTTTTAAAAATTTCTGTTTTTTTTTCTGTGTATGGCTGTTTGGCCTGCATGTATGTATGTGCACCACATGCTTGCCCTGTGCCTGTGGAGTCTAGAAGAATTCATCAGATCCTCAAGAACTGGGGTTACAGGTGACTGTGAGCTGTTATAGGGGTGCTGGGAATCGAACCTGGGTCTTCTGGAAGAGCAACAAGCGATCTTAACCTCTGAGCCATCCTCTAGCCCCTACCTGACTTAATCTTAAAGAATCACAGAGGAGTGAGTTAAGTAACTTGACCTAAATCATTCAGTGCTAATACATTTGTACCTGTTATCTGGCCCCAGATTCTACCCTTAACCAGTAAATTTAAGTTAGGAGCTATAGTAGATGTTTATAAGATGCTTTCTCTGTCTTAGGCATTGACAAATGTTTTTGCAGACTTTATTTAATGTCAACACCCTAAAGTTACATAATATGTACCCTGTTGTGTAGATGAATACTGACATGACTGTGGTGACACAGGTAGACAATATAACTATGCTAGATCACCTTCATGAAATTGGCCCCTAGATGTGCCTGATAGATAGAAAATATGCTGCTTGTAACTTCGTTTAAGATAAAGCTTCTGGCTCTTTGCAAATTAGTGCGAAACATTAGGTATGTTTCATATATCATATCCTTGAATTTCAAAATGACCCAGATAAAAGTATAATATACTAACTGAGCTTTTACCTTGCTAAATGATTTTTTTATTTATGTTTTTTGAGACAAAAGCTCACTCTGTAGCTTACAGTGACCTGAAATTCACTATGTAGCCCAGGCTGGCCTTAAAGTCCTCCTGCTCTAGGGTTACAATCATGAGCCACCACACTTGTCTTAAAGTGTGGGTATTAGAGATAGACATATTTCACCATGCCTGGTATGCGAGGGAGAAGGTGAGAGAGAGAGAGAGAGAGAGAGAGAGAGAGAGAGAGAGAGAGAGAGAGAGAGAGAGAGAGAGAGAGAGAGAGAGAGGAGAATTTTGATGATCTAACTCAGGGTCTTACATGTGGTAAGCATATGTTTTACGACTGAGATATACCTCTATCTGCTACTTTTTTTCATTTGTTACGATTTATTTCTATTTTATGTGTATAAGTGTTGTGCCTGCATGTATGTATGTATGCATGATTAGCATGCCTGTGACGGTCAGAAGAGGGCATTTGATCACCTAGAACTGGAGTTACAGCCTCTATGTGGGTGCTGGGAACCAAATTCAGGTCCTCTGCAAGAGCAATAATTACACTTAAACACTGAGCCATCTTTCCAGCCCACTTTTCCCCCAGAATTGGTTAAAATATGGTGGGTTTTTTTTTTTGCCTATCACTATTTTATTTTTATTTACTTATTTATTTATTGGTTTTTCGAGACAGGGTTTCTCTGTGTAGTTTTGCACCTTTCCTGGAACTCGCTTTGTAGACCAGGCTGGCCTCGAACTCACAGAGATCCGCCTGCCTCTGCCTCTCAAGTGCTGGGATTAAAGGTGTGCGCCACCACCGCCCAGGCCCTATCACTATTTTATTGTTATTAACAGTGTTTAAAATAACATTCATTTATAAGTAAGACCAAAGTTAACTATTTATGATCACCAAAAAATGGGAACAGTTCCTCTTAGAGGTTTCTTTCTGTAACTTTTGTCCTGTGTTACCTATATATCCATCTTAATTAGTTTGTATCCTGGGTATTATAGCAGGTGGGAAAAGAACTAATCATACCAGAAAAAAGATGCCTTACAGTTTTATTATTGTTGTTTTGAGTGGGCTTCTTTATTGGGGGATTGGTTTATTTTAGTTTGAGACAGATTTTCTTTATATAGGCCAGGCTGATCTCAAACTTGGAATTCTTCAGTCTGTAAGTGTTGGGGTTATAGGCAAGTACTGCCATGCCCAGCTCTTGTGGGTTTTATTTTATTTTTTTATTTTGAACTCTTTTAGATGTAAGAGGGAAAAAGCCAGCTAAGTTATTTTATTATTACAATTACTAACTGTCATGAATTGAATTTTCATTTTCTTTATTTTTGTGCAGAGTTGATAAATCAGACACCTTTACAGGTTTTTTAAATTCCATCCATTTTCTTTTTTAAAATTTTCACTTTCAGCCAGGCGGTGATGGTGCACACCTTTAATCTCAGCACTCAGGAGGCAGAGGCAGGCAGATCTCTGTGAGTTCAAGGCTAGCCTAATCTACATAGTGAGTTCAGGACAGCCAGAGCTATGTAGAAAGACCTTGTCTCAAAACAAAACAAAACAAAACAAAAATAAAATGAAAGTGAAAAAAATTTTTGTTGTTGTTGTTTTGTTTTGCTTTTGTTTTCCAAGACAGGGTTTCTTTGTGTAGCTTTGTCCTTCCAAGTGCTGGGATTAAAGTGTGCCATGTGTCACTACACTTGGCAAATTTCCACTTTTTAAAAATTGAAGTAAGGGGGCTGGAGAGATGGCTCAGCAGTTAAGAGTACTGGCTGCTCATCCAGAGGTCCTCAGTTCAATTCTCAGCAACAATATGATGACTCACAACCATCTGTAATGAGATCTGGTGCCCTCTTCTGGCCCGCAGGCATACATGTAGGCAGAACATTGTATACATAATAAATAAATCTTAAAAAATTGAAATAAAGTTGTATCACTTTCCTCTTCCCTTTTCTCCCTCCAGCCCCTCCCATTTGCCCTCCCTAGAATCCCTCCAA